AGGAGGAGGAGGAGGAGGGGGAGAGTTGTGGGAAGAGGAGCCGATACGAGAGGAAAAAGAAGAAGACGAAGAGAAAATGTATACATAAAGAGAGGAGGAGTAAGCAGAGGAGAGGAGGGTAGTAGGTGGGGGAGACGATGCTGGCGATTAGCGTTATTTGCTACTGGATCATCATCTTCCGGTGCCTTGCCGACTGGCATGGGCGATCATGGACCTCCACTTCACTATGTCTTGCGTTGCAGCAATAGTGTCTGTTGTTCTTGCTGCTCCTAGCCATGTTGTCATTTTGTCCAGTATCTTTATCCTCTGTCTGCCTCTGCCTCTCTTTCCATCAAACTTGCCTGTTGTTTCAATATTCTCCAATGCTTCTTTCCGCATTGTGTGTCCGAAGAAATTTGCCTGTCGCTTTCTTATATTCGTCTTAAGCTGTCTTCTACAATTTGCTTCAACCAAGACCTATTCATTTGTTTTTCTAGCTGTCCATGGGATACGTAGCATACGTCTTATGAACCTCAACTCTGTCGCCACAATTGTTCTTTCCGGCTGTGTATTGATTGTCCTTGCTTCGCATCCGTATAATATTAATAGGATTGGCTCGATGTAACTTTTCAGGACCCTTTTTTCTCGTTTCCAGTGACAGATTGATGTTTCATCTGTTTCATTTTGTGGAAGGTTGCTTTTGCTTGATAGTACTGGATAATAACATACAAAAAAAAAAGGAATATGACCAATTTGTGTCAAAAGTTTAGAGCCGTAAAACTCTTGCTAAAATTAAAACATGGAACAGTTCTCTTCTTACTCCACATCTATAACGTCTTCTCTATCTTCATATTCACCTCCCCTCCATTCCCATGCTCACTTCTCTTCTCTTCTTGCATTTCTTTTCTACTCTTCCTTCTCTTTCAACTCTCCGATTCAAGTCCTCTTCTCTACTTCCTCCCTCTCTTCCTGGCATCTTTTCTTCTCCCCTCCCCTCTTCTAAACCCCTTTCTTCTTCCATCCCCCTCTTCCAAACCTTCTTTTTTTCTCCCCTCTCCTCTTCCAAACCTCCTTTTTCACCCCTCCCCTCTTCCAAACCTCTTTTCCCCCCTCCCCTCTTTCTCCTTCTCCTCCTGTCCCATCTCCTCCTCCTATTGCAAGTACCGTAAAACTCTTCCTTAAACAACTAAACTCACCCCCCCCCCCCCCCCGTCCTCCCCCTCACCTCTCCTGGTGGAAATTTCTAAAAACCGTCCTATAACCACAACTACCCCCCCCCCCCCAAATTGCATGTCCCCAGTACATGGTGCTGGTTATAGTGGTGCTCATCCTGTAGTTGACTCTGGGCGCCATCGTCTTCCAACCCTCTTTTCTCCGTTTCCATTCTCCCCCTCTTTCACATACTCCTCTTCCTCCTCCTCCCCCTATTGCAAGTAGCGCAAAAACCGTCCTATACCAACAAAAGACTCACCCGCCCCTTTTGTATGTCCCCAGTTCATGGTGATGGTTGTAGTTGTGTTCATCCTGCAGCTGACCTTGGGCGCCATCGTCTTCCAAACCTTTTTTCTTCTCTTCATTTCTTCCCCTTCTTCTCCTCGTCTTATTGCAAGTACCGCAGAACTCTTCCTAAAACTAACCCCCCCCG